TTAGATCAAGGATTGACAGAGTTCTTTTGGAAAGCACAAGATAGTATTTTAGGCATTGTGGGCCACATATTTCTCTGCTACATATTTTTTCTGGTTTTTTTAACCATTTAAAAATGTAAAAACCATTCTTAGCTTGCAAGACACATAAAGATAATCTGTGGGCTGGATTTGGCCATAGTTTGTTGACAAAGTTTGACAATGAAGGCAAGACTAAAGGTGAGGAACCAATGATGGGCAATAATCACAGACCAGAAGTAAAGCAGGGAGGGCTTGAGCTAAGGTCGTTTAATATATGGAAATAGAGAGGGAAAAGTTTCAGAAATACCTGGGAGGTAGAAATGAACAGACATCCTTGCTTGTTCCTGATATTAGGTAGAAAGCATTCAGTCTTTTATCATTAAGTATAACATTTTCTGTAAATTTTTGGTAGATGCCCTTTATTGGGTTCTGCTCTTAGTTTACTTAGCGTTTTTATCAGTAATACATATTGGGTTTTGTGAAGTGCTTTTGATGCATCTATTGCAATGATCACATGGTTGTGATTTTTTTTATCCTTCAGTTTTCTGGAAGAGTCTTTATAGAAGTTGTGCTATTATATTTGTCTTCAATGATAAATTTAGAATGTAACAATGAAGCCATGTGGACCACAAGTTTTCTTTGTGGGAAGATGTTAAAATCCAAAGTTAATTTCTTGAATACATATGGGGCTATTTAGGTTATTCATTCTAGTTTTTCTTTTTAAAAATTTTTATTTTGAAATAAGTTTAATCTCACATAGAAATTGCTAACATAATGCAGAGAGTTCCCATATACCATTCACCTAACCTTCCCCAATGTCAATATCTTATATAACCACATAACTATCAGAACTAGGAAATTGTCACTGTTACAGTATTCTGCTTAGCAAACTACAGCCCTTTTTAGAATTTCACCAGTTTTTACATGCACTCAACTTTTTTGGGTTGGTGGGGAGAGAGAGTGGCACACAGTTCTGTAAGTTGGTCACAAATATAGACTTATGTAGTCACCTTCATAATTAGTACAGTATAGTTTTATCACTCCCCCAAAATCATTTGTTTTACCTCTTTATAGTTATGTCTGTTCCCTGGCAACCACTGACCAATCCTTTATTGCTGTAATTTTGTCATTTCTGGAATGTTGTATAAATGGAATCATACAGTATGTAATATTTTGTTATTTGCTTATGTCACTTGTCATAATGCTGCTTAGAGCCATTCAAGTTGTTTGTATCTTTTAAAAACTGCTGAGTAGTATCCTGCTGTATGGATATTTTATAATTTGTTTATCCATGCCCCCACTGAAAAACATTTTGGTTGTTTCCAGTTTGGGGCTAATACAAATAAGCATATTAAGAACATATATGTAAGTTTTTCTGTGTGTGGACATAAATGTTCACATTTCCAGGGTGAATAAACAGGGGTGAGATTGTTGGATCATATGGTAAGTGTATGTTGAACTTTATAAGAACCTGCCAAACTGTGTTTTCGAGTGGTCTTACCATTTTGAATTCTTGCCAACAGTGTCAGAGATCCAGTTGCTCAACATCCTTGTCAACACCTGGTATTATTTGTTTTATTTTAGCCATTCTAAAAGCATGTAGTGATACCTCATCAAGCTTTAATTTGCATTTTTCTGGTTGCTAATTATGTTCTTATTGGCCACTAATATCTCTTCTTTAGTGAAAGGTCTGTTCAAGTGTTTTACTCCTTTTCTTATTAGATTGTTTTCTTGTTACTGAGTTTAGAGAATTCTTTATATATTCTGAGTTCAAGTGCTTTGTCAGTTATGTGATTTGAAATTTTTAAAATCCAGTCTGTATCTTGTCTTTTCATTCTCTTAACAGTGTCTTTTACAGGGCAAATATTTAAAATTTTGATTAATTCCAATTTATCAAGCTTTTTCTTTAATGGACCATGCATTTCATGTTGTTTCCAAAATTTCTTTACATAATCCTAGATCACAAAGATTTTCTCAAAAAAAATTATGGTTATATGTTTTTTTCTTTTAGATTCATGATCCAGTTTGAGTTAATTTTTATAAGGTCTGAGGTTTAAGTTGAAGCTCAATTTTTTGGTCTGTGGATGTCCAATTTTAATGTAAAGTTCTGAAAAGTCTATGAGGGGACATCAAAAAGTTTGTGGAGAAAAGATTCCTGTTGTTACTGGTTTATAGTTTTATTCCATTGTGATCAGAAAAAATACTTGATGTGGTTTCAACTTTTTTGCATTTGTTGAGACTTGTTTTGGGGCCTAAAATACGGTCTGCTCTGGAGAATGTTCCATGTGCTTTTGAAAAGAATATTCTGCAGCAGTTGGCTGAAATGTTCTTTAAATATCAGTCATATTATTTAGTCTAGTGTGTAGTTTAACTCCAATATTTCTTTGTTGATTTTCTGTTTCCATTATCTGTCCATTATCTGTTTATTACTCAGAGTGGGGTGTTGAAATTCTCTACTATTATTGTATTGCAGTCTATCTCTCTGCCTTTAGATTTATTAACTTTTGTTAAACCTAAAGCTAGGGAGTCCATCTCCAGACTGTGCAGGTAACCATGGAAAAATAGCCTCAGAAATATGCAGAGGCAGCATGATAGAGCAGGAAGAGCAGGCAACAGGGAGTTCTGCTGCTGTGCAACTTTGTAGAAGTGATTCACACTCTCTGGATCTGTAAAATTATAAGGATTTGGTTTAGATCAACTGTAGGGTGAAAGCAGCCATAGATAATATGGAAACAAATGAGCATGGCTGGTTGCCAATAAAGCTTTATTTACAAAAGTATGAGGTAGGCTGAATTGGCTCATGGGCTATAGTTTGCCTGTCCCTGTAGTGTACTTAGTGGCAAGAAAATAGAGTTTTGTGAGGATAATATTTTGGCTTTGTAATTTTCTCAGTTTCATTTGATCAACTTGGAGACATTTTATTTACTTAGAATAGTTCATTTCAACTAAAGCATGCTGATATTATCTTTTCAGTTCCAGGTTCACATGAACATTTAAAAAACTCCATACTGAATTCATTCCTGCTGTTACCCATATATAACTTTGGGATGTGCATTGCTAAATATTATAATATACAAATGAGAAAGATAGTGTGTTTCTCCTGGGAACATGTTCCTAAATACATAAATTTTACCAAAGAAGGTGAGTTTCTGGAGCTCTCCAAGG